TAATTTGGGTTGACATCTGGGAAGAGCCAATTTCAAGCTGGTCAGTTCTTTGTTTGAGAGTTTCTTGGTGCAATCGGAAAAAGCTTGACACATGGATAATTGTTGACATGAAATGATCATTATTCCATCTGTTCTTAGGGTATTTAAAATTCTTACAACAACAATAACAGCTGATATCCTGATAAAAACAGAGAAAATACTTGTGGCATTTATATGCACTCAATACCATACTACACCTATTCCATCTGCACATCCAGGAAAAAATGAAGTTAACACAGAGTGTAAATAGTGACTTTATTCAAAAGCAAATTCAATCTTTAGATCAATCAATCTTGGTTTCTGATGATATGATAGTTCAGAGTTACCAATCTAGTGATGCATGTTTCTCAATCGACATTTCAAAGTGGATTCAAATTGATGACAATCAGGCAAGAAGCGAGGAGAAAAACCATGATCAGAGGCAGTTTCTAGACTCAAAGGAAACTATACAAGAATTGGAAGTTGCCAAAAGGCCGAGTTTTGATATTGGGAAAACAAGTCAGAAGGAAGAGCAAAGTGCGACGGTCTCAACTGGCATAAGTTCTGTCGTCTGGACTGAAATAGACAATAAGAAACACAAATGGAACGCAGCAGATGATATGACACAATTCAAGGATCAGACAACAAACGTGGAAACTGTAAGCATTTTTTTATTTATTGAAAATAACTAATTTTTAAAATTATTACATATATGATCGGATGATCCAATCTCGGGATCTTTCTTTTTGTCCGTTCACAACGAATTCTACACCATTGTAAACTAAACTTTTCATATTTTCAGGTAAGATTGAAGAGTTCATTTTGGTCAAAAATTTTCATATGCTTCTGATATCGGTGGAGGCAGAAAGGTGAAACAGAATAAAGGGACAGGCTTTTGCATGTAAATGAGAATTACTATTACTCTGCAAGCATTTGTAAAAAATCTTTAGACCCCTCCTCCCTTTCAAAAATATTTTTACCCGGTAATTTCCCTTGTTTTGTGCCAATGTTTTCCCCCTGCTGGAGAATGAACTCTGTTACTGAATAAACGAAATAATATGCTCTAGGTCTGCGGCGGACGCAAACAATTAAAGTTAGGGGCCAGGAGAAATTTTACAAACAAAAATTTACATCCAAAAAAATCAGACCCCATATAATTTTGTATCCTAAAATTTATACAGAATATGACTTTTTTGGATGTAACATTTCGAAATTTTTTGATCTCATATCCCATATAAATTTCCTAATAAAATAATGCAAATTAGATTGAGAAATTTGTATCACAAAAATATAAATGTTAATGAAATAATTAATTTTTTTAAAAAATGCGAGTTAGACGCCTCTTTTTAAAACATACGTTTGACGCATCTTTAACTGTTTTCGATATCCGTTTGAACTATTCGATATGCCTATAATATAGTCCTCGAAACGAGTTTTGAGATGATACAAGCGATTTGTAGATTCGACTACCGTACGATCGTCGGGAAATTTTTAAAATTAGCATATTATTGAAATTCTCGAAATACTAATTTTAAACTACCTACTTTAACAAATCGTAACATTTTCTACATAACATCCCTTCACTTATAACATCTAAAGAACACAAATTACTAGGGAAGATGTACAGGAAATCTAAGAAGCATGTTTGACCGTGTTAATAAGTAACTAATTTTGCCAAACACAAGTTTCAGAATGATTTTATTCTTACTATCGTAACTTTTCCATAAAGTAATTAAGTTAAGTTGCTCGGCTCGGCTCGCTTGAAGGAAATGCAGATCGGTTCGTGCCCACTGGCTCGCCTCAAGGTGGGGCTTGCGAGCTGGCTCCGAGGTCATCCCACTTAACATCCCTAGTCTTGACTTTGTTTCAAGAAAGCAACTTTCAAGCACAACAAACATGCATTTATATTTGGACCAACTACGTGGACTAAAATCGTATCACTCTTGTAAATACGAGCCTCTCTTCGGGTACATGTAAACATATGAAATGATATTTTGAGCAGTTAACGGAACTCTTGGCTTCATTAATGTAGAAAGATAAAAAGTTTTATCAAGGTAAACAGCAGAAGACACTTGAGTTTCCACCAGATGGACATTATTCAGTATCAATTATTAGAGAGTGATGTGTTGACTTGGAATTAGTAGAGTTTACCTGAATTAGAAATGGTGAGGATAGTAATGAAAAATTCAACCTTAGATTGCACACCAAGAAAAGAGTAAAAAGAATAAGTTTGATGGCAGGGGCGGACCCAGAAAATTTTTTGAGTGGGGACGGAGCCAGCTCGTCGAAGTAGGGGGGTCCAAAGTTGAAGGGGTGGGGGCTTATGGGGGTTCGAGGGCAGCGCCCCCGAAATTTTTTTTTTCGGAGTTGTTGAATAGTTTAGATTTAGCCGCATTTTCCCAACTAGTTCATGCTATATAGGCCATGAAGAAGCCTCTCACCCTGCATCAAACCCACAAATATATTCACTCTGGCCATGCAATAGTTTTTGCAATCACAGGTGGTCAAAATGAGATTTACATAACATACCAATTCTTCAGCAATATTAGCCACCTGAACTACTACGTGGCCAAAATACTTTCCTTT